GAGCTATTCCTTATGTTCCACATATGAGTGAGACCATATGATAATTGTCTTTCTCTGTTTGACTTATTTCACTTAGCATAATCCCCTCCAGTTCCATCCATGTGATATATTTTCACAACCTGAATCCACTGCAACTGGAAACCAGATTAAGAAGCAGACATGACCAGCACCTGCCACTCAACCCCTGTGCACCCTGTCGGTCTGTATCACCCCAAAGCTAGCCCTTTCCACCACTTCTGACAGCATGGATTCATGTTGGTTTTTAAATTTGGAATTTACAGATTATGTGCCCTTTTGTGTCTGGCTTCACATTATGTCTGTTAAATTTGTTCTAATCACTGGTCGATTTGTAGATCATGAATTCACACTGCTGCTTAATAACTCCATTTGGTGACTATTCAACATTTGCATACCCATCTTTTGTTAACAGGCATGATGTAAATATTGTAGCGAGCATTCTTGCACGTCTTTTGGAGACCATATGGAAGAACTTTTGCTGGAACTGAACCAGGAATAGAGATGCTAAATCATAGGACACGCTTACATTGATCTTTAAACTTCCAAACCACTTGCCCACACTTGCCCACACTGTCCCACGGCATACACTCTGTCTCTGATGAGAGCTCCAACACTTACACCAAACACTGTGCTACCAAATTTAAGTATGTTAATTTAACTATTTAACTATGTTACTGGAGTTAACAGGAGACAGAGCACCTCCCAGTTGTGTGGAGACGAACATAAACCATGACTTCTTTGCTGGGCTGTGAGTCAGGGCTGCTTGTAGTGGAATCTCTGACCTTGACTGTGGGTGCCCCACCACTATGTCCTTCACAAATTATAGGCATCCTCCATCCGTTTGTCCTTCAGTTTGTAAATTAGTCTTTTCTCTTTTTAAAAAAATAACTGTGGTAAAATATGTGTAACAGAACTTACCATTCTAGTCATTTTTAAGTGTCTACTTCAGTGGCATTAACTACACTCACATTGTTGGGCAACCATCACCACTATCCAATGCCAGAACTTCTTCCTCATCCCAAACTCCCTGCTACCTTCCCCCCAGCTTCTGGTAACCTCTGTTCTACTTTGTGTCTATGAATTTGACTACTACAGGTACCTCATGTAATCATACGGCATCTGTCCTTCTGTGGTTGGTTGATTTCCCTTAGTAAAATGTTTTCAAGGTTTACCCATGTTGTAACATATGTCAGAATTTCATTTCTTTTTAAGGCTGCATACTATTCCACTGCATGTATATACCACATTTTGCTTATCCATTCATGTGTTTGATGGACATTTGGATTGTTTCTACTTTTTGACTGCAAATAATCTTGCTATGAACATTGCTGTGTAAGTATCTGACTCCCTGCTTTCAATTATTTGGGGTATATGCTTGGGAATGGAATTGTTGGCTCATATGGTAATTCTACATTTAACCTGTCAAGGAACTGCCAAAGTGCTTTCCACTGGGCAAATTTTATACCATTTCCATCCCTGTGGTCAATGCACAAGGATTCTGGTTTCCCCGTATCCTCACCAACACTTACTATTTTTTTAAAATAAAAGCCATCCTAATGGCTGCCAAGTCATATCTCATGGTCGTTTTAATTTGCATGTCCCTCACGACTAGTGATGTGCATTTTTTCATGTTACTGGCTGTTTGTAGATCTTCTTTGGAGAAATGTTCAAGTCCTTTGCCCAATTTTTAATTGGGTCATTTGTTTCCATCTGTTACTTTTTAAATTTGAGAAATACACCACAGTGACTTTTATGCGGGGATTTAAAAAATGTATCTCTAATGGTGTCCTTTCCCTGTGTCTGAACCTCACACTGCCTCTGGGGTGAAGCCCACGCTCTCCAAGCAGGGGCTTGGAGGGGGGGTTCCTTCTGCAGCCTCCTACCTGGCCACTTTGCCTCACATTCGATACTGCAGTCCCCCGTCCTCACAGACACCATGCCTGTGTCCATGCTCCTTTTGCAGAGATCTCCTTCCCTTCTTCTCTTCCTTCTCCTTGCTCATCTTCAACTAAATTCTAATCATGCTTTAAGATTCCGCTCGGGACCATTTCTTCAAATCATCCTTTCAAACCCTTCAAGCCGAGCTCTGGTCATGCTCCTGCCTTTACCACATGTGGTGGATGTCTCTGCCATCCACCTCCCAATGATAGTTACCTGGTCTCCCGCACGGGGCATGCTCACTCACGGCGAGTAAGTGTGGGCCTCTGTCACCTGCATACAGCCATACCGTGCACAGAAGAGGAGCTCAGCATTTGCCTAACAGAACTGAACTCTTGATTTACCTGAGCTGCTGTCAGAAAGGCTTTCTATTTTGTCTAGCAGTAAGTAATGCATGACAGTACCTGTTTCACTGTGCCCTCGCCTGCACTGGGAATGACAGAATTTGTAGTGAGGCCTGGGGGCGGGTGTCAGGGCAATGGCAGCAGGGCCAAGGGTGATGCTTGGTCGAAGTGTGACTTGGGAATCAGGGGTGGGGCACAGGGCAGAGGAAGATGCTTTGCTATCGGTGGGGCTCCGAACAGTGGCAGCTCCGGCACTGTACGTGGTGAGGTGTGTTGCGTCCCAGCCCTGGGGAATGGGGTGTAGCCGCAACTAGAGCCCCTGGGCGCAGGTCTCACTGCAGCTGGGGTCAGCTGTGATGAAGACTGTGGGAGAGCTCAGTAGCAAAGGAGACAAATGTCCCCAGTGCTAAGGCTCGTTCTCCTTCCCTTTTCCACGCGGGGTGGAACTCCTCTGGCAGACCCCTCCTGCTGCTGAGCTGGTCTGGACTGGGGAAAGGGGCTACACTGCTAGAACGCTTCCTGAACTTTTCACGCGGCCATCCTTGGGTTTTGAGCTCTGCAAGGCTTTTGCTGCTTCTTTGTCACAGTCCACAGCTTTCTCAGAGCTGTCTTTGCCAGTTTGTAGTTATTTGTGTTTTTGTGGGAGAAACGGGCACTGGGACCTCCTAGCCCTCCATCTTGCCGATGTCACCCCTCAGTTTTTTCTTTCTAGAGTTATTTTTTGTCACGCTCAGAGAAGGGCATGGTCATACAAATTTAAATCTAGTCGTTTCACCTCCAGAAGAAAAACACAGAAGAATTTCAAAGGAAAACATTTTCCTGATCTTGCCATATATCATATTAAAAGTTTTTAGAGGCAGTTGCTTATGTAACAGCGTTTGTGAAACAGTCTCTCTCCCAGAGCCCATCACTTGTATGAGGGATCTGGTTTCTAGGTTTCTGCATATTACTGGGGAACTGTCCACAGGAAATGGAAACCACCCTTAGAGTTCTCACTGCTTTAAACATCTCCGTAAAATGTGATTAGTTTACCAAAAAAAGGGCCCAGCAAACTGACTAGTTTCAGGGTTGTGGCCACCTTCGGAGCCCTGAGAGGTGCTCATCCCTCCTCCCAGCAGCCCACCCCATCTCCCCTTAACACCGCAGCTAAGGCTGCGAGAGGACAGGCAGTGGGGCTCCCTCGAAGGCACTAGCTGATCTGTGAACTCAACAATGACAGGTTAAGAATATTTATCTCACAGACTGCATTCTTATTGTACTTTCATTACTGTGCATCTGTGACCATCTCTGTCACTAGCTCTGTCCTCAGATGACACATAGGAACCAACTTTTTACTGTCCCATTACCTCACACTACAGTTGCACATGGACAAAACCTCCCCACTACAGTTGCACATGGAGAAAATCCTTTGAGGATTTCCTCTGCAAGACATGTCTAAGACCTGGACATTCTTAAAATTTAAACGTATGAGATGTTGAATGACATGCAGAACGGTCTCCAAAACTGGTTCTGGTGTTCTCGACTCAGAAAAAGCTGCTGGAGTACATGAGTTTCCCTTACCCACCGCTCAATGGCCCTCCTTGTCACTGTACTCAGCCCAGTCCTAGTTTGAGGATGTCAGCCTGAACTATGGCAAGGAAAACAATCACCCAGTTTCTAGTCTTTTCCATGGAGGAAAGCAATCTCTGGGTGATTAATATCAACACTACATTCATTTAAAATGCAAAGGCATCCCTTACTCTGCTTATTAGTAGTTCCTGAAGATAAATTGCACAGCTGTTCTTTGGGGAAAACTGTAGCCCAGAGAAAGGTCACCATCTGGTTATTCATGACTACACGTGTATGAAAGAGTTCTGAAAAGCATCGCTGGATTAAACAAGAACTGTTAGTTAATCCCTACCAATTTGCATTGCATTTACTGATGAGACTATTCTTAGGGATTTTCACATTTTAAAAACTGTTTTAATTAAAATATTAGAAATCAAATATGACTAAGGTGGAACAAAATTACATTTCTTCCTGCAGCACCCAGGCAGTGGGAACCCTCAGATTTCAGAACAGCAGGGTTCAAGGATACGCTGACCACAATCATGTCTGAAATTCAAAAGAAAATCCAATGAGAAGATTTTGATAGAATTAAACTATGACAAAACATTTAATATTAAAATGGTAGGGTGAATTTGAATAATAAATATAATAACTGCAATACTGATGATATAATAATTACTGAAAACATTATAGTGAAATATTTTTTTTTTTAAGATTTTATCTACCCATTTGAGAGAGAGAGAGAGAGCACATGAGAGGGGGGGAGGGTCAGAGGAAGAAGCAGACTCCCCGCCGAGCAGGGAGCCCGATGCGGCACCCGATCCCGGGACTCCAGGATCATGACCCGAGCCGAAGGCAGTCGCTCAACCAACTGAGCCACCCAGGCGCCCTATAGTGAAATATTCTAATGGTAAACATATAAGTATCAATTTCAATAACACAATATAATCTGTGCTTATACTATTACTACTGAATTATTCAGTAATTACTAAAAATAATTGTACTCTATTAATACAAAATTATGAAGTCCTATTTATATATTCTACATTACTAATTTACATTACTTTGATATAACACATAATGCTAATAAAACTTTAATATTAGAATGTTTTCTAAGTTTCTCAGAAATATTTATATAGAAGTTATGTGAGGTATTGTTTCGCCAACAAAGAAAGTGATGTTTTTTAAAGTGTTGGCATTTTCTGGTTCACTTTTTTTTTAAGTGTTTGTTTAGAGCAGTTTTAAGTTCACAACAAAGTTGATGGGAAGGTACAGAGATTTCCCATCCCCTGCCTGCCTGTGCACATGAACGCCCTCCCCCACTACCAGTATCCCTCTCCAGAGGGGTAGGTGTACCTACACTGACTGACACATCATCATCACCCAAAGCCCACAGCTTACCTCGAGGTTCACTCTCGCTGTTGTACATTCTGTGGGTTTGGACAAATATTTAATGATATAAATCCATCATTACAACATCATTCAGAATATTTTAACTGCCCTAAAAATCCTCTGTGCTGATTAACTTTTTAAAAACTGTGTATTTTCAAAAGAATGGAATATCTGGAAATTATAATGTCCTTTCATTTTCCACATAATAAAATCATTACTATTCACTTTATATTTATGAAGACTTCCTGATACTGGTTAATGTTCTCACTTGAAATGTTAAGTTGTTCACACTATGGCATACTGTAAATATACCATTTTCTGGTAAAGAGTACTTTATTTGAATATTCAAGTTACTATCCACTAGATTATTTTAATCAACATTTAGCCTATGCCGTAAAAACGTGTTTATACTACTGATTTCAAATTTCATAATAATTGCAATTATTCAATTTTAATTGTTTTGGAAAAGTTTCCCTAAACATTCACAGTTCTATAGTGAAATGTGGCCAGGCAACAGATAGAGTTTAAAACAGAATTATTTTATTCTTTATGACTGGAACATAAGAATCCACATATTATCACATGAATCAACAATAGACATCACACATTAATTAAGAGATATATTTGTATTTTCCCACTACCCTAGTTCTCCAAAAAACAAGATTTAACAGATTTCTAAAATCAACCTTTAATATATATCTAAAATACAGTAATTCCTACTTAATAGGGACAATAACAAAATATCATCACGTTCCTGTATTATGCTACAGGGATCATTAAATAGAATTTAGTAATTACTCATATCTTCCCTTGTTATTCTCCCGAATTAAAGAGCTAGAAAAGTTTAGCAAACAGAAAGAAGGTTTGTTTAATTAAAGGAGAAAATTACCATTGATCCCCACCCAAAGCAGGAGAAAAAGTAGCTTCATGAAGATAAATGTAGACCCTTGATACAACTTTTCTCTAGGAGATTCAGCCCACCGAGCTCAGAGAAGAGTGATCTCCGAGTCAGTTTAGCATCCCAAGTGTGTGTCATGAATGTGCCCCCAAACACTTGTTCATGGGCCCTCCCCAGTCAGGGCCAAGGTGCAGTGTCATTTAATTGTGCCACATTGTATAGTTTACACATCAATTTTCAGAATAAAAGCCAAGGTTTTCAGTAAAATTTAAAAACATTTAAAATAAAAAAAATAAAAATTTCAACTACTTTTTACTGTCATGAATGTTCCACACAAAATGATTTTCATGGAAGAAATCCTTACTTTTTATCAGTTCACTTACTATTTGGCATATTCTCAAATGTGACATAGGGGAGTCACTGTGGCACATGAGAGTGGATCACTGCTCAGTCTTTCTTCCTCTCACCCTCTCCAAGTCAGCATCTGGCAGTGAGGGAGTCTCAACACTTAACCAGCCTTAAATCCTAGAGGGCTGGCATTTTAAGCAGTTTCTGGGATGGAGCTGGGTGCAAAGAGAGTGGGCAGAGTAGAGCTGGAGGGTAGGGGGCAAGCTGACACCTGTTCTTGATGCAAGGGAAGGTGAGGAACCAATTTCAGGAGACACTGGGGAAGGATAATCCACTGGCTGCTTGGACACCGGCTTGTCCCTTTGCTGAAGGTCACTGTGACCCCAAGCCCAGCTCCCTTCCTCCTACTGTCAGGCTCACATGGCTCCATTATTTTGTCAGGTTTTTATTCCACTTCTGTTTTTATAGACCTAGAGTACAGAACAAATACCCTGAATGCTCCAGCTCACCTCTGCCCCTACTTCTCTTTAAATTGTATGAGGAAGATAAAAGCAAACCATGTCATCCATAAACTGGTCTGGTATCGTCTGCTAGGTCTTGGGGTGCTCCTGGTGAACATAACCAATTGCACAGAACATCGACATCATTTAAGGCCATTATATGACCATGATGGATCAGGAGAAAGACAAATCCACCCAGTTATCATGTTCAAAATATGAACATCATCCAAGCCACAAAATACCAACCACACCCCTCTTCCAGCCTATATAAGACTGTTTCTTTACAAATCAGAGTTGTAGTCTTATTCTATTCATACCTCCACAGATTTTGTAAGACACCAATTAAACAATTTTCCCTGCTTTCTGACAGCAAATAATCTAGATCAAATCACTGCTTCTTTTACTCACTCCCAAAATCAACGAACACAAGTGAAAATAAGGTCCTTCTAACACCTTTTTTTTTAAAGATTTTATTTATTTATTTGACAGAGACACAGCGAGAGAGGGAATACAAGCAGGGGGAATAGGAGAGGGAGAAGCAGGCTTCCCGCGGAGCAGGGAGCCCGATGCGGGGCTCGATCCCAGGACCCTGGGATCATGACCTGAGCCGAAGGCAGACGCTTAACGACTGAGCCACCCAGGCGCCCCCCTTCTAACACCTTCTTAATAAAATATTCTAAAGTTCCATTTTGAAGCTTGTCTCTAGATGAAAGGAGTAATGAATCCATTTTTTCTTCAATTGCAGGAGTGTTCCCGATAGTCTTTAGTGAGCGATCCCTAACAATATGAACATATGCATGTATATAAAGGTGTAGATATTTTTACAAACCTGAATCTGTGTTCTCAAAGTTCAAACACAATTCCACAAGAACAATATGCTGAACTGGAAGTCCCAGTGAGGACTGGTACATAGACTCCCAGCTGTTGTGGAGCCCAGAGACACTGGTGGTTGTGGACATGTGTGTGAGCAAGAGTGCAAACACATGGAACAGGGAAGACAAGCTGCCATCACTAGCTGGAGCCCTGGAGTGACAGGAACAAAGGTGTTTGTGGTTGTGTGTGGCCCTCAGGTCCCCATCCACTGAGGCACAACTCAGTGAGGCAGATGCTAAGGCATCACAGTATTGGTGGACAGAGAGGAAACTGGACTCTTCTGGGGGCTGTGGCTCCTGCTCACAGTCTTCCCTCCCCATCCTCAGTGCTCTGTTAACATTTTTCTGCCTCATCTCAAGTCAGGGGCAATTCCAACTGCACCCATGGAGTCGGGGATGGGGTTCTAAGAGAGCCAAGAAAGGGAACCTCGAAGCAGATGCCTGTGGTTGAGGTGACAGATGGATCAGTGAGTCACATTTCTATCGAACTGTTAAGACTCTGCTTGCATCCATATCACATTTCTGCAGACTTAGACGTGCACCTTCCACAAGAAAGCAGCTAAAAGCTATGTCGTGACTACTTCTACATTTGGTAGCCAATCACATAAAAGATGCCAATGTTTTAAACATCTTCCACCCAAATTCCACACATCATGAAATTACGACCTTCCTCTCTGGTGCTGTGTGCCCCTCTGGCCAACAACTAAAGGAAACAGGCCAAGGAAAGGAATTCACGGTTGCCTCCTATTTTACTCATTTCTCACATTTGTGAGGAGGAGCGTCTAGAGAAAAGTCAGAAATGATTTCAAGAAGGAGAGAAGTAACTCTTTAGGGATCCCCTGAAATATACTCCTATAATTAGGAGGGCAGGGCTGGATGCAGAGGGGCCAAGACTGCTGCCTTGAGGTTCCTGGGCCCCAAATCCAGGGGTAAGCTGAGGGCTCCACGCTTCTGTCTGCAGCCACAGGGACATTCTGTATCCTGTGGAGCTCTCCCAGCTCCGAGTTTATTTCTCCTTGCATCATAGGGCACATGTCACCTCAGGATTCCGGTTCTTTAGCTGGTGTCATCTTTTTCAATTGAGATACAATTCACATTCCATAAAATTCGCCCTTTTTTGGTGAAAAAATTCATTTTTTTTTTAGTATATTCACAAGCCTCTGTTAGCATCATCACTAATTACAGAACATTTTTATCATCCCCCAAGAAACCCTGTGCCCATTAGTAGTCATTCGCTATTCCCCCCTCCTCCCAGTCCCTGGTAACCACTCCGTCTCTGTGGACCTGCCTATCTGGACATAACATGGTATGTATCTTCTGTGTCTGGCATCTTTCACTTAATATAATGCTTTCAAGCCTCATCAGTATAGGAGAACATACCCAGCATTTCACTTTTTTAAAAATTTTATTTATTTGAGAGATAGCGAGAGAGCACAAGCAGGGGGAATGGCAGGCAGAGGGAGAGGGAGAAGCAGGCCCCCTGCAGAGCAGGAAGCCCGATCCTGGGGCTCGATCCCAGGACCCTGGGATCATGACCCAAGCTAAAGGCAGTCGCTTAACCAACGGAGCCACCCAGGCGCCCCTCAGCATTTCATTCTTGTTTTAATAGCTGAGTTAACATTCCATTGTATGAATATGGCACATTTTGCTGAATCATTCATCAATTTATGGACATTTAGGTTGTTTCCACTTTTTGGTTCTATGAAACTGTTAAGAACACTCACATATACATTTTTCTGTGAATGTGTGTTCTCAATTATGGATATGTCAGTAGAAACTGAATTGCTGAGTATATGGCAACTATCTTTTTGAGAAACTGCCAGTCTGCTTTCCAAATCAGCTGCAGCATTTTACATTCCTACCTGGAGTGCATGAGAGTTCCGGTTTTTCCATGTCCTCTCACTTGCTCCCCATCTGTCTTGTATCAGCCATCCCACCGGCAGCACGGAGGTATCTCATTCTAAGTTCTGATTTGCATTTCCCAAATAAATAGCTGAGCATCTTCTTGTATTCTTACTGGTCACTTTTAGATTGGAAAAAGATCTATTCAAAAAAAGTTTTTTTTGCCTGTTTTTAAATTTGGATTATTATTTCAACGGTTTTTGAGTTGTAAGAATTCTTTACACATTCCGGATACTATGCTCTCCTCAGATCTTTGATTTGCAATTATTTTCTCCCATTGTGTGGGAACTCTTTCAACCTTGTTAGTGTCCTCTGAAGCACAAACATTTTCATTTTGATGAACCCAATTTATCTATTTTTTTCTTTGGTTGCATGTGCTTTTGGTATTGCCTAATCCAAGAACACAAATATTTGCATATATATATATATATATTTATTTATTTAATTTTTTAGTAATCTTTACACCCAACATGGGGCTTGAACTCATCACTCTGAGATAAAGTCACACACTATTCTAAGCCAGCCAGGTGCCCCCAAGAACACAAATACTTATGTCTTTGTTTTCTCTCAAGAGTCTTGTGATGCTAGCTCTTATATTTAGCTATTTTACCCATTTGAGGGTTTTTTTTTAATATGTTAGAGAGGGGTACCATTTCTTTTCTTTTTATGTGGATGCCCAGTTGCTCCAGTACCATTTGTTAAAATAACTATATCTCCCATTGAATATTCTTGGCACCATCGTCAAAAATATATTGTAAGTATGAGGATTTATTTCTGAACTCTCAATTCTAGTCCACTTATCTAAAAGTCTATTCTTATTCTAGTACTATAGTCGTGATCAATGTACTTTGTGTTAAGATCTGAAAGTGAGACATGTGAATACTCAATTTAATTTTTCCTTTCAAGGTTGTTTTATTTATTCTGGGTCCTTGCACTTCCACATACATTTTATGGTCAGCTGGATTTGTGATTCAGATTACACCGAATCTGCAGGTCAATCTGGGAGTACTGCCATCTCATATTAAGTCTTCAAATCCATAATCACTTTCATTCCATAAGCACTTTTTTATGGTATATTTCATTTCTTTCAAAATATTTTGTTGTTTTCAGAGTACAGATCTACCCATGTTAAATATATTTTCAGTATTTTATTCTTTTTGGTGCTATTAAATATTTTCTACTCTCTAGGATCCTATTCTGGATCATACATTGCTTTTTGCTGTCTTATCTTGATACTTTCCTGTGTTCTAGAACACGCTTCAGTTTTGTCTTCCATGAAATTGTCATTTTTGTAGAGTTTGAGCCAGTTGTTTACCACAATTCCCCAAAATGGTATTTCCTTCTGTTTTCTTATTGTGAGATTTAGTTCATGTATTATCTTTGTTTTTTTTTTTTCTTTCATTTTTCAGGAACACTACACAGTGGTGTTTGGTCTTTCTCAGTGATTTACACCAGGAGCTACAGGATGTCAATGCTTTTCATTATGATGTTAACTTTTTCATGGATGGCAAAAACTTCAATTACATGCTTAAACTGTTTACCTAACGTTAACCTTTCACTATGGTTGTTTCAAGTGGTGATGTTTTTCCTACCATTCCCTCTGCTTTTAGTTGGTTTCTACTATAAAGAGTGTTTCATTTCCCTCCACATATAGAGGCATGTATGTGTATGAGTATGTTAATCTTTCAATGTGCTAAAAATCCATTATTTTTATTCTTTATTTTGATGATATGGTTGTCCCAAATGTGGCCAAAGGGGCCGCTCTGATCTGCCCCGTTTCCTTTTCACCTGTCTACCTCTCCTTTTGTGAGTACTTCCTTACTTTTCAGCAAAAGATACCTTAGATACTTTCCCTCCTCAATACCAATTGTGTATTTCCCTGCCTCAATCAGCCCTTCCTCCAAGGAAGCCTAGTTCCTATTATTGAGAATGAAATTTAGAAACCAGTATTTGAGTGGTATTTGTCATTGCAACTGAGGTGCCCCTGCTTCTAGGCCCTTTCAGAGGACAGGATCAGGAAGCACAAGCACACACATCATTAATTCATGTTAATTAAGACTATTTCCAATCCAACATCCTGAGACTTATCTTCTCCTTCCTCAAGTATTTGTGTCTCCATTTTCCAATACCAAATAAAACTTTGGCTGAACAACCTAAATATATTTAACCACATACTCAGTCATACGATACACAAAAATACTTCAAAAATTACTACACTCACACCACTGCAAAAAAAAAAAAAATCAAGTAGGCATAAGGATAATTTGCAAATATTTTTGTATTTCACTTAAGTGTATATAGTAAAAACAATGTGTTAAAAAATTACTTGAATTTATTTTGTGATTATGGTAGTTATTTGATATAAAGTTAGGCCCATTTGTTTTTTCATTTTTTTCCCACTTATTCTTGTTGACTTTAATTTCATTGTTGTGTACACCAAGTGTTCCCAAACCAAAACCATCCAAAGGGTATTCTCAGAAAGAATCCTCCTCCTACCACTTCCTCAATACTCCTCTCCACTCCCTGGAGGTTACATTTATTGCTTATCCTCCCTTTGCTTTTTCAAGGCCAGCAGCAGACTGTCTCTGGTTTCACATCTGACATCCTCTGTTTCTGACCTGCAGATCCTCTTCAAAATGGCTCACCTGATTAGGTTATGCTTATTCTGGAAAAACTCCCCTGTGATTATCTTACAATTAACCAATTAGGGACCTTAATGACATCTGCAAAACCCCTTCACCATTGCCATATAATGAGGAGAATGATATTCCATCACATCCAAAGGTTCAGAACAGAAGCAAAGGGAGGAAATTATCAGGTGTGAACCCTAAAGGATATAATCTTGGGGGCAAACTTAGAATATTGCCTAGCAAAATTACCCAGAGAGTCTGAGGTTCTAATTTATATGGAATAACTGCTTGGAGGTTTAAAGAAAGCACTGGGAGAGAAGAAAAAGTCTTAGATTCCACCCACACCCTCTACCATGGTCCCAACCCCTCATCTCAATCAGGACTCCTATGTCCCCTCAGTGTACCCCGTATTCCCCCATCCTGTCCTTTAACCTACATTAACCCTCCTTAGCTGAACCCTCTTCCTGAGGCCTGTGCACATCCTGGATCACCAGTACCTGTCCCAAAGCCCTGTTCTTCCTCTGCTCAGGTCACTTCGGGTGGTCTGGCCTCTCTATGACCTTGAGTCCACCTCCACATGCCCCCTTCTGCCTCCTCATTAAGTAATTTGGCTCCTATTCCTTTCCCTCCTTTCTGCTTTTGTCAATCCCTAAGGTCACCAAATGCTTCCTTCAATCTATCCCTGCTCCAACATCACATGTGCCTCAGATGCCGCCATGTACTTGCCTCCTCCCCCACGTGCACTCATTTCTCCCTCTGCCCCATTTTTTCCCTACTCCAATGGGGCCCTGGTCTTCAGGCTTCCCATTCCCCATCTTTCCCTCCCACCTGTTCAGATAGGAATGATTGTGGCTGTGCAACTAGGAAAATGTGAACAGTTTGGACATTTTAAAAAGAGGAGTATTATTTTAACATGGGACTTTATTCATAAACCAAATGTTTATTCTTCCATGTTTGTATTAATTTATACCATAGATATGTATGTTTAAACACTGATATAATATTTAAATCACATTATTTTGTATTATGACCTTCCAGGTTATTTCGGTTATTTTGTGACTGACTCAAATCTCTATAATTATGGTTAAAGCTGCATAAAAATATAAACTGAACAACATTATTAGACTTTTGAGGAATAACCTTTACTGATTTCAAGTACTAATCTATTGAAATAATTTAATGTTTTATCAGTTGTTACAAATTCTTCACTAAACATTCCCGGATCACAGCACAAATCTACAAATCTCTATTTTCATCTTACATTATTTATAATAGGTCATTTGGCAAAGTCCTGAACACTATGAAGTGTGGATTTCAGGACTCTCGATAGAGTTTGTAGTTTCTGCTGTAGAGTTTGCTCATGGTGCTTAAAGGGTAAATTATAAATGAAGGCACGCTATGAAGGTGCGGGACTGTACACATACAATTTCTCCCTATGTGAGCCCTCTGGTGTCTGTTAGAGCAGAATCTGAAGACCATTTTTCCTTACATTTATAATACGGGTTCTTTCATGTGGACTAAGGTCAGAGACTGATGAAGGCTTTTCCATTCTATGTGATTATTTTAACTAAAGGGTAAGACATTTAGCGAGCATTCTGGACACATTCATTTCGTATACAGGGCTCCTCTCTGGTATAAAATTGCTCATGCTCTTTAAAGCTGGAGTTTTGACTAAAAATTTCCTATGGTTTTTCTTCAGTGTGACTTCTTTTACGTTGACTAAAGGAGGAAGGACAATAGAAACCTTTTCCACATTTATCACAGATGTAGGATTTCTCTCCCTTGTGATTTCTTTTGTGTGAATATAAATTAGCATTTTGGCTGAAGTGTTTCCCACATTCATTACATTTACAAGGTTTCTCTCTGGTATGTGTTCTTTGGTGTACATACAAACTGAGTGCTCCGATGGAATCCCTTCCGACATTCATTACATTTATAGGGTTTCTCTCCTGTGTGAGTTCTCTGGTGTGAATGTAAGTTAGTGCTTTGCCTGAAGTGTTTCCCACATTCATGACATTCAGAAAGTTTCTCTCCAGTGTGAGTTCTCTGGTGTATATAAAGCTGAGTGCTCTGATGGAATCTTTCCCCACATTCCTTACATTTATAAGGTTTCTCTCCTGTGTGGATTCTTTGGTGTGAGTGAAAAATAGCCTTCTGGATGAAGCATTTCCCACATTCACTACATTTGTAGTTTTTCTCCAGTGTGTGTCCTTTTGTGTATAGAAAGCTGAGTGCTCTGGCGGAACTCCTTCCCACATTCCTTACTTTTATAGGGTTCCCTCTGTGTGAGTTAGCACATGTTGGATAACTGTGGATCTGTAAGTGAAAACCTCCCCATATTCATTATATTCATAGGCATCCTTTCCAGTGTGAGATCTCTGCTGTTTGAAGGAGATGAGAGGCTGTTAAAGAATTTCTCATATGCATTAATTTCGCTACATGACTCCCTACTTTGATCATGCAGTGAACATCTCCTGTTAGCATCTTCCCTGTTTACACATGCCATGCATGTTATTTTCTACAATACAAAGAGATTTCCTTTTTTCATAACACCTCAACTGCAGAACTATCAGATTTACTTGAAAGACTTCATTAGTTTCATAGACTAGATGCATGAGCCATGTTTATGTGGCTGTCCTTTTATAAGAATGCAGGTGATAGCTTTGAGCAACATCTTGATGTTCTCCCTAATTCAAACCACCCAAAGCTTTCTGCTGAGGCAGCATTTATGCCCAACTGAAATCACAGTCCTGTGCTGTGTTCTAAAATATGTTGGCTCCCATGTCTTTACTGTTGAGGAAGGGTTCACCCCCTTGAAACTTACCATTGACATGCAATTAGATGGGTCCTTTCTGCAGATGTCTTCTTGTCTCTTAAGGCCACTTTTCCTGTCTAAAGTAATGTAAACAAAATGAACTGCTAGTGTGCATGAGAGGATGAAAACTCTGAAAATATGCAAGGCCTGTGTACATTTCAAATACTGACCCTTACACAGGGGAAAAATGTGAAAAGAAGGAATGTATTAGTGAGTTGAAATATATTTCAAGAAAGTGAAAATTATGAAGTGTTTTCAGGATTGAAATAAGATGTCTGCTGTTGACATTCCCCTGGTCCTGCTCTCCCCATAACAGGATCTTCCTGGCACTGTGCACACACAACCTGGAGCTTACCTGGATTCAGGCCTTGGGGAAATCCTCTTCCCTCCCTCCACAGCTCCACTCCTTGTTCCAACTGGGAAATCACATCTGATTTGCAGAGATGATACCCTGTTTTAGGGGAGTAAAAGGTGTATTGATTTTAGATTCTATGCAGAGAAACATGAATGCTCTTTAATTTCAGGGCAGAATACCAAGGAAAAACAAGGTGAATAGTGAAGGAGAGCCCAGGGAAGAGCACCTTGAACACTGAAAATAGTAAAGTCCTTCACCAGGGCAGAAAGAACATCCTGACACTATGCCAACCCAGGTAGATTTTCTTGTTGTTGATGTGCAGGACCAAGGTCAAAGTGAACAATCTTTAGTGTTTTCAACAAAGAAGTAATTATATGTTTCCACAGTAGGCTGATACTAATTTTTTTAAAAATTAAGTACACAGAAACTGCACCAGAACACTTGATTTCTCTTTAGAAATAAATAGGTATAATTTGCACAAATGGATCTTTAATTGCCAGTTGAGTACAGAGAGCAGAATAGTTATTTAGCAATATTTAGTGCTTTCATTCATTTAAAATATTCATGGAATTCCCAGCACAGTCCTGGGCATGGGAGGTCCAGAAGCAAGAAAGACATGAAAGAGGGGTCAGGAAAACTATATACTCTTTTGGGGTGACAAAATATGTGTAAGTAAATAAATGAATTGAATTCAAGTAGTTTTAAGAACCATGAAAGAATCTGAATGAGGGCTGAGAGGGGAGGGGGGATATGTGAAAGCTGGATACTTGCTGAATAAATACATTAATGTTCACAGACTCACCCACAGAGACCAGATGACTGATGTTCTCCAGCATGACATCTCTGTACAGCTTTCTCTGGGATGTGTCCAGCAGGGCCCACTCTTCCTGGGTGAAGTCTACAGCTATATCCTTGAAGGTCACTGATTCCTAAAACATGAGACATTTTGATGCAGCCAGGGCCTTCCCTACCAAGAGCCGTGGGAGTATACTAGACATGACGATGCTGAGGATGGCTTGCTGTATACACAGAAGGCTCAAACCCTGCCTGGGGTCCCAGTCAAAAGTTTCTCTACGCTGCCTTATCATGTGTCTTTCACACAGACTCACAGAAATATACACACTTTGTAAACATAACTCCATTATAAATGATTATCTCATGAGGTGTGGTGGAAATACCCAGGACATGGCACTGCCCAACTTCCTGCAGGACTGAATGGGGCTCGTACACGACTTGGATAAGCAAGTGTGGCCTTGCCAATCTCTACACAACACACATGTTCATGATAAGACTTAAGACATATAGGGGCACCTGGGTGGCTCCGTCGTTAAGCATCTGCCTTCTGCTCAGGTCATGATCCTGGGGTCCTGGGATCGGGCCCCACATAGGGCTCCCTGCTCGGCGGGGAGCCTGCTTCTCCCTCTTCTACTCCCCCTGCTTGTGTTCCCTCTCTCACTGTACCTCTCTCTGTCAAATAAATAAATAAAATCTTAAAAAAAAAAAAAAAAGACTTAAGACATACAGTCCAGAAGCAAAACTCCAGGGGCCCTAAGACTGCTGTACGTAAGGAATTTTCTAGCCTGCCCCTCCATTTCAATCTTCTTGGGCACCTCCAAGTACTGCTTATCACTATCATCAGCCTCTCAATTAAACCTGATCTTTCCAGTCCTGCAAAATTTGCTACAGGACCCTAGGTTTTATTCCATTATAATCCTTCTCAATGCACTGCCCACATTAGGAAAACAATACTCAGCAGACATTTGTTTTCAAATTTGAACAAAGTTTAATTACAAAGAGGGAAATTGAGTTGTTGGGAATAAGAGTGGTAAGGAGAATTTTTCTTTAAGTTATCAAAATGCTCAAGCATATTCTATAAAAACTTTAGTAAGTTTAAAATTGGGGAAAATAAATGATTCCTCACTGATCTCTTGCCCCCGACCCCCAGTCTCAATGCTGCAGAGCCCTCCTCTGTAGCATCTAAAACCCTGGATGGACTGAACTCCCCTGAAGGAAGCTCTGTCTCTCCACGGGACTGTAAGCTTTTGCTTGTTCTCATTTCTATCACCTGTGCTCACCACAGGCCTAAACCCACTGCAGACACTAACCTGGTTAATGAGTGAGTCACTTCTCAGCTGGGGCCATGGGATGGATGAGAAGAAATAACTTTTCTGCAAGGATATCCTTAAGGGGATGGGGGATGGAATAGAGTAATACGGGTATCAGATTATTTCTCGATCAAATCCTCACCTGCCATAAGCCTTCCTGAGTCCTGGTGAAGTGGGACTAACACTAATATTTCATGGAGGCACAAAGAAGATCCAGGCCATGAAGATAAATCTGCTCATCCTCTAGAAAAACAGGTATCGATGCGAAAGAACAAGTCCTACTCACCTGCGGTTGCATTGTCTAGAACTCAGTTGCCCCTTTCTTCCTGTGTATTCTCACCAGGGGACAGTCCAATAACTAAGCAGACAAAGCTGACGAAAGAGAAAGAACCCATGAGACTTGTCTTTTCCAATATTCCTAGATATACCAATCTTGAATCTGCAAATCTTCCTATGGTAGTGACTCCTGCCCATAGTCCAACTCACATGTACCTGAAGAGTAAATAAAGACAAACAGGGAGCAGGCTCCCCTCTCCAAGAATCAAATCAACAATAAGAAGTCTTTGTCTATTATGCTCATAAAGAAATTATTAATATCCCCATTAAAAGGATAGCAAAAGCTTAGAGGTGTCATTTAATTAGACTTGGTATTCAGAGGTCCTACTTATTTACATCCCTGGCACCAAAATCTTAGAGGAGAACCTAACTCCTGTCACATGGAAATTCTTGTATTGATAACTCAGGACACCATTTTGGAATTTCATATTTTATCATTTTTGGGTGAAGTCCACTAGCATTGTTTTCCAACACCCACCTCAGCTCATGAATGCCCCATGCTATCCCTCAAGCAACACCTACCCTCAGTCACCTTGGCTCCTCCATATGTGGGATTCAGGCAGCGTTAGTGCCTCAACCCAACTGTATACCTCATGGCCTTGGATATATGGCCTAGCAACCATGGAATCTCTTTAAAGTTGGGCCGGAACATTTCAATGACCCAACCCTTGCTCAAGTGTTCAGTGACTTTCATCATGTAAGTCTAGTACCTACAATCCCTTGCACAAGAAAGAAGCAGGAGTACATATGTCATAATGCTACACATTAAGGATTGCTACCCAATCCCCACAGAGCAGACAGGCTCATAAAATATAGAGCAAAGAGGTTTAGTTTTAGAGGTAATTTATTGACTTCTTGGGGTCTGGAGTTCCAGTTATTTTTATCAACAAGATTATATTTGCATTTCATAATTTAAGTATATAAAAGAATTTGTTACCTCTACGGTACTATCTCAAACAATGTTTATAAATAAATATACTACATCAACAAACACTGATAATGTGTCAAGAATAGGATATGATTAAAACCCACTGAATTTGAGGACCTGCAAAGAGGAAAAAAAAAAAAACTACTGGTATTGAGACTCTGTGAGTGGAATTTACATACATGTTGACATACATTGCACTTAATTCTGAATAATAATCCTGCCTTTAAGGATTACTTACACATTTGAGTGATGTGCACTAGGTTCAAAAAACTATTTATATAACAAAACTACAGGCTAAAAATTGACAGTTAGAATTTAAAATTAGCTCTGCCTGTCTCTGAATGTCAAATAACTAAAGAATTTCATCTTGAAGGACACTAGACACCAGAACCAGTTTAACCTGCATATATCTCCAGTCAGATCTATGACCAGAGACTACTCCCTCAAAACCTCCTCCTTTCGGCCTGTTCACACAATTTCTCCCCATATTCAGGATCTCCTACTACATGGGAACCTTTAGTTCAGTGACCCCAATTTCCAAATTCAGCCCCCACATCTAATTTCTACTGATCAGTATAACATACACTTACTCATTCCAACACATACCAAGACCAACAACTGTAATGCCGCTTAGTCCTTCCCAACATCTGCTAATCAAAACCCCAATCCTAGATGATGCCAGTATCTCACCTTCCCCTTGGCTCCATCTGTCACAGCTCAGAATGAAGTATTGAGCTGGTCTAATTACAGAGTCACAAATCTCCCAAAAGCTTTTTCTAAACATCTGGCATCCAACTTTGGCTTAACAATCACTTTGCTATGCTTCATTAATATGTTAATATTCCCTGTGCCTTTCTGGTTTTTTTTTTTTTTAATTATTTTTAAAAAGATTTTATTTATTTATTTGACAGAGAGAGAGACAGCGAGAGAGGGAACACAAGCAGGGGGAGTGGGAGAGGGAGAAGCAGGTTTCCCGCGGAGCAGGGAGCCTGATGCGGGGCACTGGGATCATGACCTGAGCAGAAGGCAGATGCTTAATGAATGAGCCATCCAGGCGCCCCCCTTTTCTAATTTTCTAATCTCACAAATTCTTACCTTTTCCCTTAGTTTTCAAAAATGGTTTCACTTCCTACTGCAGAGATGAACCTGATAATTTGAAGAAATATTTCAGCTCACTTGCAAGAAAACTGTAATTATTCCTGATTTCCAACCCATCAGCATATCTGCTCTTGTAAAAACTGAAAAGTAATCTCTATTCCTAATTAAATCCAACTTCTCCAATTGTATCTTTCTTTCCTCCTCCCTCAAATATTTTGTTATTGATTACAAACCAAACTGCTTTTTACCAGTAACCCCTTCATTATTTCCCCATTCATCTCCTTAAACTCATTTAGTCTCTCCATTCCTCTAAGAAAAACCTCCTCTAAACCAATTTATATCTAGTTGCTGACACATGACCTTTTCCCTTCAAAATGAACCTGAAGAAACAGTACATAGTTTCTTCACATTCCCTCACTTTGACTTACAAAAATCACTTATGATTTCCATGTTAATAAATCTTAAGATGAGTTATTCACACATAATTAAACCCAGTGTTTCTCAGCCTTTTACTTGGAACCAAAGCAGTATTGGCAGAGGATCTCCATTTGGGAACTTTCTTTCCTAGGCTTTTCTGATGGCTCAGGTTCCTAACTGCCTTTCAAACAGTCTAGCCACTCCTTCCACGAGTCCTCTGCAAGGTCCTCCTTGCAACAAAAACAAACAGTGTCGCAAGGTTCAGTTGTACCCCTTTTCTCTCCTCTGACAATAGATTACCTCAGAAATCTCACTACACTCACTTGCTTCCATTTCTTCCATCATTATCTCTAAATCATAAAAACATACCTAGATTCCATTTCTAGGCCGTAATCTCCACCTACGTGTATTATAGGCACTTGAGTCTTCCACAATAAAAAGCTCTTCTCTTCTAGTCAAGTCAGATAGCGGTTCTGCCACATATCCAAGTATTAATCTTTGACGCTACTTTTCAGAACCACACAATTAAGCACTGCTGTTATCTCTACACTGAGCACTATTATCTTTCACTTCCATCCTGATATCTGCATTTATATGGCACTTCATACTCATTAGGTATTAGTCCAAGATTAAATGCCATTCTTTAGAGATCCCTCCTTTAAACTACTAGCTAAGGGCGCCTGGGTGGCTCAGTTGGTTAAGCGACTGCCTTCGGCTCAGGTCATGATCCTGGAGTCC